TAGGGGACAATTTGAAAAGGCAACAGCTCCACGGTATTTTAGCACATGCAGTGCATGGATGTAAAATTGCATCATTAGCATAAACACTGACCAGATTTTTGTTCGCTCCTGCCTAGTGATGCAGTTCTGCATCTGCACTGCAAATGCTGAAATACCTTGGAACTGTGGCCTGCTTAAAATGGTCCCGTAAGCCACTAGAAGCATTGGGAAGGTGCGCCAACGTCGTATAAACACGGAAGCAACAGAATGTTTTCTGGCCGGCGGAATCGCAAACTAAGGATTTTGCTAGTGCTAGTAAACCCATCATACCGGTGTTTATTTTTACATTTTTATGATTAAAAACTGAAGTTGCCAAAAATAATACAACGTTGAAAAAAAGTTTATTTTTGATCAAAATTAGTCAGTAATGAACAAACATAAAAAATGTTGACGAAATGCCAGCTTCAGTATTGACATTAAACAGCCAAGAGTAAGACAGATTTACATAATGAATGGTTTATTTCACCTTCAAGGCAGTAGCATCAACTGCCTGTTTCCGAACTTAGCAGAGCTGTCTTGATCACAAAAGAAATAAGCGCAGGCAGAGGCACCTCATAACAGCTGTTGTGTACTTTAATGCTGCTCAGGTAACATTTAAAGTATCTTTTAAAATAACCGCGTTATAATGGCTAATTTGTGCTATGCAAATAAGCAATCATATAAATTGATATGAATTTTTACTGCTTGAATTGAATACTTTTTCAGCATAAAGGAAAGCAAAGATATCACGTAACATATGAGTTAAAGAAAAAACAAAAACTAATTGAACAGAGGGTATGAATAATTAATTCACAGCTGAACGACTAGAGGCATGTAAGCAATATAGAACAAGAAGTCAATTGATACGCAATAAAAAAGCAAAATAAGGTTTAAAGAACATGAATTACATGCAGATAAAGTTTCTTAACTGCTTTAGAGACTGAAAAATCGGTTTTGTTGTTGAAACGATTTGGAGTAAAGCCCTGTTCGGGCGTACGAAATTCGACTCTGTTGAAGGATGATCAGAAATACATACTGCATGGTCAATATGCAGGAAACGGGTGCGTTTGTGAAAATTTTGTTGCTTATCGAAATTCCGTTGCTTACTGAAAGATCAATAACTTTAACCTTTAAGTCGTTTAGTGAGATATCATTTCGTTCAGAGACTATCTTAAAAGAACGTCTCATAATT